GTCCTACTCACTCGCCTCCATTAAGTAACTATAGGTTGGCGATAATTGAGAACAATCGGATGACTGAATCAATACATAAGGAAATCAACAAGCGACAACACCTACCTACCGGCCTACTTAAATCGGCTACCTAACTACACCTGTTGGTTTTCCAGCTCAGAAACCGTGAACCGAGCCGCAGTGGTTCTAGCCGTTACAGCTTCGTTCAAAGAGGATAACGAGAACAAAGAAATAAGAATTACGCGTAGGAGACCATAGCGCATTCCGTTCATCGTAGTCGAATGGTTATATATAGCCGAAAGTGGGAACTACGTAGCGAAGGCGATAGCTTTGATGCAAGACCGCCATTCGCCGAATGACACGGTCACAACTGTCAGGGTCTCATCCCGGGGACATCATCATCATCACCATCAAAGACACCAACATCAGTGTTGGCATTGATGCTTCCACAAGACACAGGACGCGGTGCATCGGCCTCTCTGTTTTTGTAAATTCTTCACAAGTCCCTAAACTACATGGATGTAATCGTGCACACTTAAAATACACCACCCCGAATGCGTACAGGACCTTTGCTACATTCAAGGCAGCAGAAGCAAAAAAACTCCCACCCCAGATCAAAGCAAGAAAGCCACCTGTTGGAACAGTTACTCACTTGCAAGTTGACTTGTTGATCTAGCTGCAGTTCAGAGTGGCGGAAGCAGATAGGTGGCCACCCTGACCTGACAGAAGCGTATGAAAGAGACTATGAAAGGCTTGGGTGCTGTCGGTGGTACTCGCCTTCCAATATGTGGACGGCGTAATCCGCACTGCACCTGACTGGAGACGCTGAAAGGCATGGCTGCTAATAGATGTCAGTGGCATTCAATCCATAGTGGCTGAATGATTGTCTGGAGATGTAGGCACCTCGGACTGATTGTAGTCCCTTCCCTGTCCACTTTTTTCTTTCCTTTGCAATAAGGCTTTCAAATAAATTATGAGTGTGTGGCAGTGAAGTATCGGTGTTGAACACTGATGTCATGCTGTTAATGATGAGCGCCTCGTAAACCGTCTGTAGATGGGATTTGGATATGAACATTCAGAAGAGACGATTATGTGATGTGCTGCGTTCTTTCGTCGTCTAGCTTTAATATGAAGGCTTGGAAGAGTAGAAGGCAATGAATAAGGCCCAGCCAGCACAAGGAGCGAGAAAGTAGCGCATGGAAGGCCAGAGTGGATTAAAGCCGCGGACATCATATGTTCCAGCTTACCATTTAAACACAGCTATTCCGAGTTCATTAGTAGCAAAGTCAAAAAGGCGAAATAAAAAAGATCAACTATATATA